GGTGAACTCCACTGTCCACAGGTCCCCGGATGTCCGTCCTTAGAGACCTATCCTCTTCTCACTTTCTGAGGCCCAAGGGCTGCAGTGGGAGACCCCAGCCTGTGAGGAGAAGCCGGCCAGGCTTTGCCTTCAAGGAGAAGCAATTTCCTGGTCAGTGGAGCCCCTGAGCTTGGGGTCAAAGCAGGCAGTGGAGTTAGAGGAAGGGAACCCAGCTCAGAAGGGATGCAAAGATGCTGCAGCAGTGAAAATTTGATGGAACATTTCTTAAACATTCTGTGACCATGACTCAGTAAGAGACACTGTGTTATTGACGGAACACTTACAAAAATTTTCTTCTGCGAAAAGCAAAATCGTCGTCAGGCTAAGAAATGGCACAAACAGAAATACATCTGAGAGATGAGAGACTTTATAAATTAAACGTCACAAAGTGAAGAAAAATACAAAACTATATTTCAGTACCTCCTACTATGGTGCAGGATAAAATGGTTATTTGTTATAAAATATGCAATTACTTTTGCAATGGCTCACAACACACGGGAAGATTTCTTTTCCCCCAAGGAGTAGCATCCAGATAGTGTTGAATTAAAAAATTCAGTGTAGAAGTGAATAAGCAACAAGTCTTTGATCTTGGTCAGTACGGTTAGCCATCTGCTCTCCCCAGACAACACAGTCTTATCTTAAAGCACCAGGACTTGGTAAAAGAGGTCTAATTCCCTAAAATGGTGACATTTGATTTTTTTTTTCAGTCACATAATCCTTGCAGTAAAAATATCTGGACATATTCCCTCAACGTGGTATATTTATTATGTAGAAACTATATGCAAGGACTTTCATCACTGGGTCACTATCCCAAGTTGTGACATACACGGAGGGCACTGTGCAATGGAGTCTGAGGCACTGTCCTCCGGATAATTCTGTTTGCGTCTGTCAGCTTCTTGCCCTATCTGATCAGGTGAATATTGTTTCTGACTTCACACCATGCCAACAATGAGCTTATGCTGGATTAGGAATGGTGCCGTGTGCTTGTTTATTTTCCTAATTTGTACTATTGGCGTTGTCTCCTGCTTTCTTTGCAGAGCCCTTCCTACACCACTCCTCACCTTAGTGAGGATTCCTTTAGCTAAAACTAAACAATACAATCTGTACCTCCCCTCGAGTAGCACAAATAAGCTACAATATTCTGAAGGCAGATGAATGAATCACTGGGGTAGTAGGGTGTGTGTGTGTGTGTGTGGCCCTTATATAGCCCTTGAGTGTTGTATGTGACGGGTCTACAGACCAAGCAAGCATACGTGAGTTAATCTCTGTACATTAAATTTAAGTAAAATTTAATTTCTTTCCTATTTTAGGTCCAATATTGGCAGATATCCCAATATTTCCCTCCCATTTCCCCAGTGAGCATTCCCTGGGCTGCCCACTCCTTACTCGGGGGTGTCAGGCACCATATCTTTATAGGCTCAAGAGCTTTTGGGGTCTAGAACTGAAAAATCTCTAGAAGGCAAAGGAGGCGATAAAAACCATTGTCCATCACCCTACCCTAAACCAGCCCCAGGACAGCCTCTAACCTGATCTCTGGTCATTGTAAATAAGAATAGTGGCCAGAGACTAAATGACTTCTCTAGAAAAGTCCATCCAGCTGGCAAAGGAGGAAATGAACAGCGAGCTCATATGGGTTTGAGGGAGAGAAAATAGAAGTTTCTGTTTTTTAAGAGCCGCAAGTTCATTTTTCCCATCCCCCCAGTCACCCCTGCCTATGTTCTGCCCCTCTATCACACATGTCTGACTGGATTCATTGGCTACAAGTTTTGATTTTTTTTATCTTCCCCGCTACATTGTAGGCTCCTTGAGGCAGGACCAACATAGCTTTGCAACTGCAGCACCAAGCATAGCATCTGGCAAATAGGAGGCGCTCAATAAACATTGTTGAGCGAATAAACTCCTGGGGATAATAAAAATAACCTGTGAGGATCAAAGGAGCTCCTGTGAGTAAAGCACTTAGCACAGGGTAATTGCTCAGTGCATACATGTTATTACTGCATGAGCTAATACAATTGCTCGGTGAGTTATTTTATTATTCTATTGTAGGACAGTACTTTGTGAATTTATGGCATTGAACACACCAATTTACATCACAGAAACTAACCTTCTGAGAAATAGCACCAGTCCCAAGCCCACACAGGGCCCTTTCCGCTCTGCAAGGTGAGAAAGGCATTGGACCAGGCACTCTGCTTCATAGGGAGGGAGGTAGTTTTAATTAGCATTCATGCTCCCCAAGTAAGATGGAAGTTACGTTTCCTTTCTCTTTTCTCCCAATTCTAGGATCAACTCTATAGCATTCTGTGCAGTTCACCTGGTGCTGTGACATGCGTTGTTATTCTGTAAAAATAATCCAGCCAGTGGCCTGTGATTCGGCAGCACGCACCCCAAGCCCAGGGATCGCTCCCCCTTCTGCAGGATGGCAGCACCTCCAATAAATGCCTGCCTCCTCCCTTGGAACCCCATTCCTGACACATCAGTGATGAAAACCCCTTCTGCCCCATTATCTATTCACCCATCCACTCATTTGTCTTGTGCCTACTCTATTCCCGGCTTTAAAAAAAAATAATAATAATAATAATAATAAGCCAGTCTCACTAAGTATCGCAGGCTGCCCTCACACTCACCATCCTCCTGCTTCAGCCTCCCAAATGCACCAGGCACCACCTTGCCTGGCCATGTACCTGGTGCTCTTGTAGGTGTGAGGGTACAGACACAAACTTCTCATGGAGCTTACATTCTGAATAAAATAAATAAACAAAGCATGAAGCATTGGGTGGTGACTAATGCTCCAAAGTCAAGCAGGCAGAGGGGATCCAGGGAGTAGCGCAGGTGCACGTATTCACAGCACAGTGACCTAAAAAGGTGACCTGTGTGTAGAGCTTGGAGGAAAAGAAGGTCGGTTGGAGTGTGGCAGGTACTGGAGGAGGAGCTGCCAGAAGCAACACGTGTGAAGGTCTGGGAGAGAGGGGTGCCTGTGACAGAGAAGAGGGGGCTGGGGGCATCACAGCAGGAAACAGCTCCAGAGCCAGACCCAGAGGGCCCTGCAGACTCTGTACGTGGGTAGCTTGTTGCTTTGGTGGACGGGGAAGCCAGTGAGATGCTGTACAGGAGTGACGTGAGCTGCTAAGATGGATCACGCTGGACCCTGTGGGGAAGAGGAGTCGGGAAAGGGCAAGCCATGAAGGGGACACACCATGCATAATGGGGGCAGGAGGGAGAAGTAGCCAGATTCTGGATTCATTTTTTAGGTAAAAAAAAAAAAAAAATGTAGGATTTGCTGACTGATTAAATACAGGAGTGAGAAAAGAAGCAGCCAAAAACAGAGGCCTCCGATGAAACTATCCCTGTAGCCTCTTGAAGAATTATGAAATATGCTGTTTCTCTCAGCTTTTGCCCTGAACTAAAGGCAGTTTTCTAAATTTAGCCTTTCTTTTTTCAACCATTGCTCAAAGCGTGCTTTTCTTGAAAAGTATATTTGAAGTTTCCAAATAGTTTAACAGTACATAAAATATATGATGCGTGCTGATTCTCTGCAATGAAAACCAGTCTCTAAAACTCCGGCTTTCCACAGAAATTCTATCAGCAAAATTAGAATTGCAATTTTATTCTTCCTCTGTTGTCTGACTAAGGTTTCATGTAAGCCTTGGGCTTATTCTTGAGAGCCCTGTAAACATTTCATACACCTACTCATATATTACCAAAACCCTTCTGAATTCAGCCTACAGTAAAATTAATTACCATGTCATGAGTCTGTCACATTTCAGGAGAAATCATAAATATTTACTCAGACTTGATTCAGTGTTACTTTGAAATGGAAAGATATTGGCAGCAAATTTCTTTGCATTACAGCATATTCTTTAGCTGGAAAGATTGCCATGTAAATAACACCCATAAAGTTTTTAGAAGACCATTTTCAACAGGTAGAAAAGAAGATAAATCAATACTCACACGATTTCAAAATTCCTTAGGCCCATGAAACCCATGTGCTTCTCTAATTCCTTCCAGATTACCCAGGAGGTTAAATAGAGCAGCAGAGAGAGAAGGCGAGCTGAGGAGTGACAGAGACACTGAGCATGCAGGAGACAACTGGGAGGAGCTACAAGGGTGACCGGAGATGAAGGTGGAGGCTGAAGGCTGACTAGCTTTGGCTGTGAAACCCAGGACTTTAATGCAGTCTGAAATCACAGCCCAAACTCACCAAGGCAGCAGATCCAGAGGCAGACACACTGGATGACCTGGGCTGGAACCTCATCTCCACTGGATGGACACTGTGTGACACTGGGCAAGGGAATCTCTGCATGCTTCAGTTTCCTCATCTCTGAAAAAGAATCGACTTTGCACAAGGACCCGAGTTCGATCCCTGGTACAAAAAAAAAAAAAAAAAAAAAAAAAAAAAAAAAAAAAAAAAAAAATCTGCTTTGTAGTGAAGAAAAATGTAAGGGACTTACAACAGGGCCGACTACACAATGGGCACTCCACACACACACACACACACACACACACACACACACGTATGTACTCACATATACACAGTTTTGTACAGTTTATACAGATATGCTATAATAGTGTAGATGGAAAGTGTTTCTGCACAGAGAATGCATTCCGTTCCACCTTTTGAGCCTGCAGGTCCTGCATTTGTGGACTTAACCAACACAAATCAAAAATATTTAAACAAAAGTTGTATCTGCACTGAACACGTACACACCACTTTTTTCAGGTCACTGTTCCCAAGACAACACCGCGTAGCCATAATCTCATAGCATTTTTAGGAATTACAGATTTAGGGATTACAAGGGATGATCATGTAGTATATGTGATTAAGTCAGAAGGAGTGACTCTGAGTCCCCAGCTATGTCATCTCTCTCCCTCAGTTATCTGGGTCTATCCCTGAAGTTTGTAAGCATTACATAAAATATCGTGAGAGAGTTCTGACAAGTGTAAAAGAGAATGCACACGTGGTTGACTGTGGTTGGCTCGTGTTTGGATGCCCCACCAAAGCCTCATGCTGATGACAGGGCACTCCCTTTGTCAGAGGTGGCTGAATCCGCAGTGAGTGATGCTGGGTGAGTGACTGGCTCGGCCCCGCCCTCATCCGGGTAGTCTGCAAGAGATAAAAGGGGCCGTAAGTTGCTGCCAAATTTCCTGGCTTTTGCTGTTTTCCGCCTCCATGAACTGGTGCCCCTTTTGCCACCCTGTTATCAACTGAACCCGCTGTGAACTGTGAGCCAAGTAAACCTTTCCCCCTTTAACTTGGGGTATCCGGTAGTTTGTCTCAGCAAAGAGAGAAAAGTAACTAACACAGTTATGATTAGGATGTTTTCTGCTCTTCCTTTGTAACTCTTCCCGACTCCATCGTGGTGGGCTGTTTCTTTCTGGATGGTCTGGGTTTTGGGGAGCGGGGTCCTTGCCCGGGTGCCTGGCCAGGCTCAGCCCAGGATGCTCAGTATATTCCTTACCTCAGGTGAGCCGGCCACTACCTGGGAGTGTGTCCCCAGCTGCCCCTTCAGGACTGTGTCCTAAGGAAATACGCAAGGCTTCACAAGACTGGAGCAGAAATGTGTGGGTGGAACTTGCTCACACTGATAATTGGGGCCTTTGTGCTCTGTGCTGGAATGACGAAAGTCACAGCTAAAAGAGGAGATGAAGAAGTCGGTGTGCCTGGGGGGCTCAGAGGTTACATGGGGGAGGCAGCTCAGGGAGCCAATTGGGTTCCTCTGTCTTTGGCAGAAAAGAATTCCGTGCCATTCTCCCCTCCAAGGACAAGGAAGACAGAAGCACTAAATGAAAAGGAAAAAGACTTCAAGGCAGCCACACACACCTAAAACCTAGATGTATGGAGAGGTGTGGAGCCCCAGCTTTTCTTTGCCACTCATTTCCTCAGTGGGAAGCAGAATTTACCAATCACTTCCTTTGTCTGGACTCATTCTTTTCCCCCACTTAGCAACTTCACTGACATGTAATTGACACAGGATACAATTGTCTATTGAAAGAGCCCAGGGTAATGGCTTTTAGTTAGTTTCTGGAACTGTGCAGCCATCACCACAGTCCAGCCGTGGAACAATTCCACCTCTCCAGGTAGAGATGTGGGGACTTCCTGTAGGGTTATGTCCACCTCACCCCCAGTCCCAGGCAGACACCCAGCTGCTTTCCGTCTCCCTGGATTTGTCTTTTCTAGAAATTTCATATCACTGGAGCCATATACTATGTGATCTTTTTGCCTGACTCCTTTCCCTCACTATAATGTTCCTGAGATTCATACATGTTGCATGCATGTTGCCACTGACAGCACCTTTTATTGTTAAGCAGTTGTCCATGACATGGATGTATCACGTTTTACTTATCTGTTCAGCTGATAAACATAATAGATTGTTTGGTTGCCTCTTTTTAAATGTCTCAAGGAAAGGGGAACCAGCGAGGAGGGAAGTAGAGAGAAAGAGACAAGGAAAAAATGAAAATAGAAGGAAAAGTGGAAACAAAGTTTTTGTACATAGGGGAGGGGGCTTGAGGGGGGGATGCGATAAATTAAAATTTATTCTAATAAATAAATAAATGCCCCAAAGAAAGGAAGTTGACCCACTTCTTGAAGACATTCTTTGCTTATCTTCAGCAGGACTATTACTTGTGATAAGAACCAGGCCCCTTGAAAGTGTCTATAGAGAGCCAGGCCTGGTGGTGCACACCTGTAATCCAGCACTTGGGAAAGTGTGTGCAGAATCCTTGTGAAAACACAGCCTCTTGCAGCCTAACACCGAGAGTCCACCATAACCCCAGGCACAGACGTACCTCCTTAGAGGTTAATCTCAACAGTAAAGAAGGTGAACCATTTATTTTCCCAGTACTGGATGCCATAAAATAAAGGAATTTTCCAAATTTTCCTAAATACCTAGGGCTGCTGCCCTCCTCTGGGTTACAGCCACACAGAATGCTTGCAGGTCATGGTCCAGCACTGCTCATCACAAAGGGCTCAGAAAGTAGCCAGGTGATCTGGGCCCCATCACCCCACCCAGCAGCAGAGGAGACAAGCATGTTCCAGGGGGACTTCAGAGGGGAGCAAGAATGAGGACCCCAGCTCCCTATTCTTCCTCTAGGAGAGCACCCCATACAGAGGCAGATTGTACCTGGATCCTCTGCCTTCTTCTTGCCAATAAGAGCCTGGAGTTTTCTCTAGAAGCCACAGTGTGGAACCAAAGGTAGCTCACTAGATACCATCACCACTGCTGGTGAAAGTACTTGCAGGCACTGCTGGCCGAGGAACCTTCACTCACTCAGCAAACGGGCACTGACTTCAGCCACAAGTGTGTCAGAGACCCTGCCAGCCACTGGGAGAGAGGAAAGCCAGAGCTGCTGGCCTCAGTGAGATCTTTCTCCAATGAGGAAGGGTAACTGATAAACAAGTGAAGGAAATCCTGTAGGAAATGTCCTGTTGGATCCCACAGAAAGCACCACAAGAACATGAGGGATGGAAGGTTGCAAAAGTGTAGGCATTTTCAGGGGGTGGGGGCTTAAAAAATGAGAAGGTCATCAGATAACAAGTAGCAAAGGACAGGGTGGTATGCAGAGAGGCATGTCTCAGGGATAAAGCCGTACCCAGCCAGGCCCAAACCTGGACTTCTCCTGTGACCGTAGCACAGTGGGAGTTCCGAGACCTATCAGGAAGCCGTCGAAAGCTAACCCTTCAGAGTGGGACAGACGCTAGCTGCTTGTTTGGTGGGCCAAGCCAGCTGGTAACAGAATGAGAAAAGAAATGTATTTATTTTATAGCCAACTAGGTCAAGGGATTCCTGATCCTCTAAGAATGCCCTACCTGGTGCATAAAGCCTAATTTCCAGGGAGAGCCATAAAGAACATGGCTGCAAAGTTAGTTACCATAACATACCTGCCGTGTCTGTGCTGACCGGCCCGGGACAATGGCTGCAAGCAGGAGCTTTCTCCCCTCAGCCTCTTCTGAGCCCAGGACTCAGGAGTGGCTGCTCTGGGGAGCTCTGTTTTCTATCAAAAATCCACTAAGATGATAGTGCAGTATTTAAAGAAAAATCACAAAGACTAAGAGAACAGGAAAGAAATTCAGCAGATTAAAAAATGTCTTATAAAATTTCGGAAGATGAGAAGCAGGTGCACCAGGGGTAAGTGGAAATAAAGCCTGCAAGAGATAGGGAGAGTCAGGAAGAAGCTGGCTTATCTAGTGCAGATCTCTAGAAAGGGTTGGGAATTACAGACACTGGGTACCTAAAAAGATAGATGTTGGGCTGGAAAAAGGACAAGTGATTAAAAGATCAGAAGAAGCAGTTAGACCGACCGATCTTTTCTCCTGCCTTGCACAATCACTCCTTGCTCGCTCTAGCAAAGGCCTGGGAATGTACTCTCTGGACACGTGGGCCAGTTAGGCTGTGATTCCTGGGAAGATTGTGTCCTGCTGATGATGGCCATTAGCCTCCCTACTGAAAACAGATTCTGTGAAAGCCCAACCCCTGCCCTGCCATGCCCTGCTCCAGAGTGCCAGAAGCCAAGTGCATATTACTCAGATAAGGAAATAACTTGCCAGCTCAAGGGAAAATGATTAGGGATGCTGACTTTGAGGGGATCGCTACCAAAATGGCCTGGTCACCATCTAATCACCGCTGTATAATTAAGCCCACTTGGACAAAAGGCTTTTACTGTGTTCCCAGAGCTTTTTTTAATGTTTTAGTGCCTTAAGACATCGATAATGCCTCATGCCTTAAAAATGGATAAACAAGGATTACCAGACGTTTGGAGAATATGTAGACTGTGAAGCAGATCAAAATTGACCAACAGATAAAAGAAACAGTGGAAAAAGAGACAGTAAAGGGGAGAGAAAAAAATTCTAAAATACTTGGAGTATGGGAAGATGATTGCATCCATGAATATCAGAATGGGAGACTCAGACTCAGAAATAAATATTCAGAAGCTGATAAAGATAGTATTTAGAAGTTAAAACATGATGTAAAAATTTATACTCACTAGAAAGATTGGAAGACAAAAATTGAAAAAAAAATTTCCCAGAAAGGTAGAATCAAAACAAAAATAAGTGGAAAGGCAAAAATAAGACAATATCTCTATCCAACAAAGCAGATGAACATTTTGGCAACAGACATTCCAGGAAGAGAAAGCACAAGGGAAAAAACGGGGAGTACCCCCAGTACTGTACCATTAAAAAAGGCTGAGGTTCATAATTGTGAAATTTCAGTACCCTAAAGTCTTAGTGCCTTCCCTTGTCACTGAAACACAGTGCCAAACACCCACAACTTAAAGGAGGAAAGGCTTATTGGCTTATTTTACAGTCTATTTGCCTGGCTCCAAGGCTGGACAGCACGGTAGAGGGGCACGGTGAAGGGGAGCTGCTCAGGGAAGGGTACGCAGGAAGCACGGAGAGTCAAAGAGGAGCCAGGAAGGGAGCTGTACACTCCCCGGTCACGCCCTCAGTGACCCCCTACGCCCACCAGGCTCCACCTCCTAACGGCTATGAGCCCCATAATCCGATCACTTCCCAAAGATCCCACCTATGATCACCTGAGCTTTAGGGGGACATCTAGATTTAAAGTACGACAGCTAATAAGGGAAAGATACTAAATGTCTGCAGAAAGAAGAAATTAGATTCACATACAAATCTCTGAAGTTGACCAGGTATCAGAATGACAAAATCCTCTCAGCTACAACACTGAAATCCAGAAAACAGTAAAACAAAGCCTTTAAAATTCTGAAGGAAAATTGTTTTCTACTTAAATTCTATGCCAATCCAAGTGATCAACGAAATGTGAGGGTAGAAGATAGACATATTCAGAGAAGCCGACACACAGCCTTTCCCGGGAAGCTACTGGAAAAGCTCTGTGAAAATTTTTAAAAGAAAGAAGAAAACATGTGATCCAGGTAGAAGGGGATCACCACGGAGAAAAGAGGCAAGAGGATTTGCCGGGGTATGGCCATGGGAATTTTCCAGGCCACAGCCTTGCAGGCCCAGAAGGGAAAAAAAAAAAACCTTGAGCAGCACACATTGCTCAGGAAGGAGGGAGGGAAAGAAAAAAGAAGGGAGGGAAGGAGGGAGGGAAGAGATTGAGAATGACAGGAGAAAAGGAGAAACAGATACTCAAGAAAGGTGAGTATTGGTTATTGAAAAACTTTTCAGTTCTCTCAGAGAGTTTGGGGATTAATTAGTGCTAATCACTACTAAACAGTAAGATAAGCAAACTAAATATGAGATGGCTTTTAACTCCAGAAAAACGCAAAGAGATGAAAGAGAAAAGCAATGTAACTGCAGTGCTCCCTGGGGTTCAGCTGTGATGAACCCCTGCCACTGCTTTTCCCAGTGGTTTCCCAGTGTTGAATGAACGAGGTGGGTCCAGGCTTACGGGGGAGGGTGTGAGGGCGAAGTCAAGAGGTGCTATAGTAAAACGTCAGTGGGGAATATGGAGTTCGAAACAAAAACAGAAAAAAAACTGCACGTTTTTAAGAAATATGGCAGTAGGAAAGGGCAGGAGGATAGTGGGATCAAAATGATCAAGAAATGATGTAATGGACCAGTTCCACAAATGTAACTGTTATGGATTGCAAACACACACTACAAAATCAATTTTATAAAAACTAAAGATGGAAGAAAGCACCAGACTAAATACCCAAGAGAGCTGAAAGTGGGTGTGATGGTTCATCTCATGTACCCACTTGCTAGACCCCTAAGTCCAGATATTTGGTCAAACATTGTTCAGAATATTTCTGTGAAGGCCTTTTTTTTTTTTTTTAGATGACATTGATTTAAATTGGTGGATTTTGACTAAAGCAGATTGCCCCCCAAAATGTGGGTGGATCCCATTCAATGATTTGAAAGCTTGAAAGAACAAAAAACTGTCCTCCTCCAAGCAGGAATGAATTCTGCTAGCAGACAGCCTTGAACTTGAACTGCAGTGTATCAGTTCTTCTTGGGCTTCCACCTGCTTGTCCACCCTACCAATTGTGGACTTCCCAGGCCCCACAATCACATCAGCCAATTCCTGAAAATCGCTCCCCCCCTTCCCCCACCCTTACCAGTTCTGTATCTCTGGTCACAGGGGTGAGAATGGGGTGGAGCACTGGGTAGAAGCTCCCTGTTCGTTGTTACTAACTTGCTTGTACTCTTTGATCTTTCAGACTACGTGTAGGGGGTGTCTTAGTTACTTTCTTGTTCCTGGGACAAAATACCTGACACCCACAAGTTAAAGGAAGAAAGGCTTATTTTGACTCACAGTTTGTAGAGGTTTCAGTCCATACTCAGCTGGCTCCAAGGCAGGGTGGCCTGGCAGCCGAGAAACAGCCCATGGCATGGCAGGCAGTAAGCAAGCCTTCAAGGGATGAGGAGGGTTATATTCATACTCCCTCCCAGAACACGACAACGGTGACCCATCGGGCTTTATATCCCAATGGCCAGCTATAAATCCATCAGTGATGTAATCCAGTACCACAAATCCATGATCCAGTCACATCCCAAAAGCGTCACCACATGAGGCTTTAGGGGGACATCTCAATATAAACCATAACAGGGGGAAAGATTTCAGCTAAAACACATTTGAGCAAGATATGTTTTAGAACCTGGTGGCCCTGGATTAAATTCTCATCTCTATCCCTTACTAGCTGTGACCTTGGTCAGATCTTTGAGCCTCGGTCTCCCCACGTGTAAGATGGTGGGGTCATCAGACTGGTTAAATAAACCAACACACCAACAAATGCACAGTAAGTGTGTCACATAGTCAGTGCTGAACAGAGGGAAATGGCTTTTGTGACAAAAATGCCTATACTGTAAACAACTCTCCCTGGCAGGGACTCCGGTGTTACATTATATTGATGTTGTCAGAATTACTGGTCCAATAAAATACCCTGGCAGGAAAGCTCATTCTCTTGGAAAAGAGTATAAGCCCTTTTAATATTTCATCTCTGCTAGGCTTTATAAGACAAATACACTTCAGGGCTATAATTCAAACTCCTTTCAGCGGGGGCGCCTCAGTCGTCGGAGAGGGGTCAGCTTCAGCATTCTCCTTGGCATGGACCGCTGGCCTGCACCGGCTACCGCCATGGGCTCGGCGATTGTCTGCCCGTCACCTGCTGTGCACAAATGAAATCATTTCAGATGACCTAAGGTGCAACTCTGCCACTCAGAAGACTGAGTGGAGAGGCCAAGAAGCAGCAGTGTGAGAGGGCCCTGGAGCCCAGCGCTCTTTGGAGCTGTTTCTTGGTGACAAGAGTCTAGGACAATATAAGGTCGAGAGGGCACCTGCAACCATGGGATGGTGTCGCGCTGTCAGAAGAACCCGCTGCGTTCCCTGGAGGAGGTTCTTGGTTCGCTCAGGAAGGTCTCGGGGCTACCTTTGGCAGTGATCTTAATCCAGGGACCAGGCATGGGCTTCGGAGGGGTCTGTGGGCTCTCTAAAACTGTCTTCACTCTGCGAAGTGTGGCTTTGTTGTTTTCTCAGAAGAGCCTGGGCTCACCGAATGTGGCGCTGCCTCACTGGACTGGCAGCTTTGCCTCTGGGTCACCTTAGCGTTGGGTGAGCGCCACCCGCTGAGACGGCGGGGCTTGGAAGGCTCAGAGGGTGCTTTCTTTAGAAATAGCTCGCCAATCAAAAGGACTGGATGAGGCAAACCAATAACTGTGCAAAAGAGCTAATTTGAAAAGGGTGGCGTGAAACCAGCTCTGCAGAGCAAGCTTGGGCCAAACAAAGAGAAAAGGTACAAGCCAAAATAAGAAGCACACGCCGCTTTCAGACACGGCCGGGCTGCTCTGCAAACTCACGCACGATAGGCTTTCGGTGATAGCCAGTCCTTTTCCCGCAGTCCGCACTGCTCGGGAGCTGGTGGGAACTTCATGCGTGTTCTCGAGTCACCCGGGGTATGGTGACTGACAGGTCGGGCTCCTTTCCCCAGCCAGCTTTGGCACGCCATCTCCTAGATCTGAATAGCCCGGGGTCCCGCACAATCCAGTCTCCTAGAAGCACCAGGTAGAATACGTGTCAGCCTCACTTCCTTTCCCACCACCACGCACACGTACATCCACTCACGCACCCACACTCCTGCTCACTCTATGTTTCTAAAAGCTGGCTGCTCAGGTCAGTACAATGTATCTGTAATTTCTCTGCTTCAATATGTGCCCTTGAACCTGTACGTGTGTGCACGTACTACTTCCACTATCAGGAGTGGGGCCTCCTAGCATTCACAATTTCCTGGAGAAAAATCTACCCACCCCGCACCCCTCCACCCAAACTTCCGCTGCACTGGGCGCCCTCCCTGACCTTCCTCCGACCTCCATCACCCGCTCCTGGGCTGGCTGCACTCCCACAGCACCGCGTATTCCCTTTTCTTACGGCATTGGGCATATTCGTTCTTTTCTGTCCTTTTCATTAAAAAGCCAATTCTCAGGGGAAAGATGATTTTGTCTCTTTCTTTCCTGAAAAAAATGAGAAACCATGGGCATCCCCCACTCTAGCTATCCACAATCACTTATAATTCTCCAAATGTAGTAAACTCTGCGGGAGCCCTTGCTCTTTGCCGTTGCCCTGAGCGGGTACACAGAATGTGCTCATTTAAAGGATCTGGACAGTTGGTTGTTAAAAGAATGAGTTGTTTCCTGAACTGCTTAAAGCCCCGCCTGATCATCTTTCCTTGTCATGCTTCTCAAAATCTCTCCAAATGAGATGCAACTTTTCAAAAGACAGTATATTACTTCCTGAAGTAACCTCATGGAAAGAGACGGGAAGAGACAAACCTCTCCATCCCTCTTGTGGAAGCTGAAAAAGCAAGACTAAAAACAGGAGAATTGGCCTCTCCAGAGAAATGTCCTCTAAAAGAAACAGCAAACCGAATCAGACAGAACAGATTCCTGCATGTGTCTATGGCTTGATACAACTGGACAAAACAGGAGATTTCCTTCCTTGCTGCCCTGGCTGCACTAGATCTTTATTTACTGCCCGCCTCATGGTCATGTTTCTCCTTCCTCAAAAATGAGATTTGCTAGACGTTGGCTCCTTTCCCATTAAGGTCACCAGAGAGCCGCTGCATGCTGGGAAACAGTAACTTCAGCACAATGTAAGGGAAGATTTAGTGGGAATAAACTGCCCAGTGCAGATACGTTGTATAGATTGTACAGATACATTGTACAGATTGTGCAGATATACTGTAACAGATACATTGGCAGGGCTGGTATCGCATGGCAGCCAGTGCTGGTGTTGCAGATGAAGGGAGGCTGTGCCAGCCCTAGAAGACCAAGTCTCCAGGGCAAGCCAGGCTCCCAGTGAGAAAGGACACAGGAGCACACGTCCACTCATCAGCATCTGTATCACTGATTCCGCGGCTATTCCGTGCACACACCAGAAATTACTCATGGAATCCGACACATGAGTCTTTCAGTGACTGGGAGGAGCCTCAGCGATTGGCAACATGGAGACTAATCTAAAATAGACTCCACTCCTGTGGAGAGCAAAACCTTCCACTCACGGCCCACCATTTGCGAAGAGACTCTTAGTCCCTCCCCTGGGAACTTTCTTCTGTGTGTCACAGAAGTTTTGGGCCACACAGGAAGGCATCCTCACTGGACAGGTGGCATCAGAGAGCCATCCAGAAAAGGACTCTAAATGTAAAGGCTCCAGAAACCCTTTCCAATCTCTGAGGTACCCAGGAGTCAAGCCAGAACTGATTTCTTCCGCTGTTCTTGTCTCAAACACAACGTGTTTATGGTTCATGTATTACATCCATATGGAGAGATCCAGGCTAAATTGAAATCCATTTGTCTTCACATTCTGGTTCTTGCTTTTGGGATGCTGGGAACTCAATCCAGGTCCTCGTATGCAAGAGATAAGGGTTGTGTCACTGAGCGACAACTGTGGCCCTACACTTCGCAATCTTCCCAGCCCACCACAAAGCTCTGCGGAAGCTTCCCTGGGACCAGTCGACCCTGTGATTGATTGCTTTGCTTCCTCCTGCATGGTGGTGCAGAAGGAGATATAGGGGCCTGAGCAGGTCATTCTCTGGACCTCCATTTTCTTCCTCCATACAATAAAGTGACATTCTGATGTCCCCAAGTGTACTTCAACCTGCTTACACTGTGAGTGCCACTACTCTAAGAGAAAATTTTCCACCAGCTTGCTTCTTTCAGTTTTAATAAAATAGTGACTTTATTGGTTTTACCAAAAAAATGATAGATATAAGAAATTTTTTTTAAAAAATCATTGTACAGGGCCGGGGATTTAGCTCATTTTTTTCTGCCACCTGCCTCACAAGCACAAAGTACCGAGTTCTATCCCCGGTACACCCCCCCAAAATATCATCCTATGCACCATAATCTTGTAAAGCTTCTCAGAACTGTCCCAAATTGTAAACCAGGCATAGTGGCCCATGCCTGTAATCCCAGCACTTGGGAGGCTGAGGCAGGAGGATCGCTGTGAATTCAAGACCAGACTGGACTACACAGTGAGTTCAAGGGCAGTCTGAACTACATAGTGAGACCCTGTCTAAAAAAAAAAAAAAGCACTGTCCTGAATGAGTTGTGGTTTTAGAAAAGACAGTATATATCGCTTCTCGGCCTTTTGGCTAAGATCAAGTGTAGAAAAGACAGTATATTAATTGAAGTATTTAACTCCATGAATATTTGTTAAATTATTCCAGCTATCTCCTTATACATATGCTCCATAGAAAGATGAATAAATGGATAGAACTAATTTTACAAAAACTAGATTATATTCTATATATTATTTTTGGTAAAGGCATCAAATTTAATATTTTTTAATTTAACTTGAAAAAGAAATCAAAAACAAAAATGTTCTATGACAAGAAATACGTAGTATTGGTTATAGTGACAGAATGGTCATAAACTGTCAATCCTCCAGCTGAGAGAGAGGTGAGATCCATTTCTCCACTTCTTGAGTCTGGGGAGAGCTGGGGACTGTTTTGACAGACAGAATACAATGGAAGCGATGCTGGTCCAATTCTGGGCCCAGCCTGGAAGAGAACTGGCAGCTTCCACTTCCTTCTTCCTGAAACCTAGCCACCATCCTGTAAGGAAGCCCAAGTAGCCACCCAGAGAGGCCAGCACTGGGAAGAAACGTGGTTCTGGCCAACAGCAGCAAGTGATCACCCAGAGCGCAGTGAGCCATATGAGTAACTCGCCAGGGAGTGACTGTTCTGCCTGGTTGAACTGTTTCAGTGACAGTGGGTATCTACAGACGAACAGTCCCTATTCTGAGCCCAGCCCAAACTGCCAAATTGTGACCAAATATGCAGTTGTCATTGTTTAACGCCACTGAGTTTAGGAATAGCTATTCAATAGTGGGTAATTGAAACAAAATCACTGAACGGTTAAAGAAAGCAGATGAAAAGCTTAAAAGTTGGAGTTTCTCAATTCTGTACTCACTTTTTGAATCGAAAGTCCTATTAATAAAACAGGGCCTACGTTAATAGTTGTTCCTCTCCATGACCTCTGAATTTCTTGTATTTTATTAAATTGACACTTTTACAAGATTTGTTAGCTTTATATATGTTCCAAAACAAAATCCCAAGGTTATTTAATCTTGGTTCCATAGTTAAATGGTAAAATGTTTACCAGGAAATTTTTCACATTTTCTCAAATCCTGTTTGTTATTATTTGGTTTCATCCCTTGGCTAATGTCTTTTAGTCTCAAGTGTGCTCCCCTTCCACAAACAAGATTTACGACTGTTATACTCCCCACATTTTTGATGGTTAGGAATATCCATGACCTTTACTCTCTTGGTTAACAACAGGAGAGTGTAATGTTCTTGAGTCACAATTTTATTCATTGTTTCACTGTAGTATTTTTATGCTGTTTAAGGAAAACTGAGGCCAGCCTGATTTTCTTTTCTCTGCAATTGATTTGTTTTTTCCACCCAATTGCCTGAAGTTTATCCATTTTCCTTTTTCTCTTTTGAATTCAATATTGCAATCAAGATAGATCTGAGTCAAGAGTTGTACCTTACTTTCCCTGAGTCACAGTTCCCCTTTCAGTCCATAGCTCTGTTTGCTCCTTTATTTCAGAGAATTTTTCTGCAATTATAATTTTAATACACTTTTGTTCCATTGTTTGTTTTGCTTTAAAATATGAATGACTCCAATGTTGGATCACTTTCTTTCTTTTATTCTTTTAAAATAGTGTTTCTCTTTTTGCTCCCATCTCTTTGACCTTTTAAAAATTTATTTATGATTATCTCAAGCCCTTTTCTGTCAATTTTTTGCCAGTTGGTCCATGGAGCTAAATTAAAACTGACTCACAAAAAAAAAAATAAATAAATAAAACAAAACAAAACTGACTCTCATGGTAAGAAAGTCGTTCCTCTTAATTCTCCTTCAGTTCTGTTTAAATGGAGAAGAAAATTCTATTCAAATCTTACTGTATCTTTAACATCTTTCCAAATTTATCTGGTAATCCTTTTAAACAAAGAGAGAACAGGCCTTAAAGTGTAGGCCCTTTAACAGGCAACAATGTAGAGCCAGAATTCAATAATACAAATTTATTCTCATTATTTTATTCTATTTTTGACAAGTTATATTAGCTTTCCACTAACGTGATAAAATGTTTCCTTTTGAAATAAATTTCTTAGGATAAAGAAACAAACTTATTTAAAGAAACTATTAGGTATATAATAATGAGTGGAGCTTAAACATGCCTAAAATTAAGGCTATGATACACGAATGCCTGGCCTTTAGGAAAAACTGTTCTCATCTCGCTAAAGACTCTGAGCCAGGGATGGCAGGGCACGCCTGTAATCCCAGCACTCTGGGAGGCTGAGGCAAAAGGATCACAAATTCAAACCCAGCCTGGGAAACTTAGTGACTTAGTGAGCCCTGTCTCAAACTAAAGAAAAAGAATAGAAAGAAGGAGGAGGAGATGGAGGAAGGAGAGCAGGAAGAAGAGGAGCCATCTGGTCTCCTTTTCGGAGATTTTGTTAAAAATCTGTACCCTAGCTGTAGTGAACTCACCGTAGGGGATCCTGGCTTCAAGAGCAAGCCTGAACTGTTCGCTTCACTCCCCCACCCACCTGAGTGTCTTTCTACTCCTCCCAAGGAAGAAGCCAAAGAGGAAAAGGTTAGGCCCATGAAGCCAAACCTGCCATAAGTAGTTCCCACACCGAGAGAGCAACTTTGCCTCAGTTTCCCCATGCCTCTTTTTCCTGGCTTCCTGATCTCCTGAGCATCTTGTCTTACTTATTTGCCTTAGTTTAATTTTAAGCTCCTATCTTTGCTGGGAATGACTAGCAGTGTGTGGTCAGACTGTCCCGCCTTCACTTTTCCCTCAGGCTGGAAAGATCACGTGGATGAATTTGTTGCTTGGTCCCGATCCACCCTGAGTTCCCTTTTCCACTCTCTCAGACCACGTCTGTCCAGCCTGAAGGGAGACTGAGCCATCCAGAAGGCTGCCTGATGAAGAGCCTGAGTCAAAGGCACATGAAAGAGAAGGTAAAGTCTTCGATTTGGGGTGACCCCAAAGAGAGCATTCCCTGATCCAGCTGAGTCTGGTGCTAAAGTGAATTCCTAGAACCTTACATCACCTCAGCATCTACTTTGAATAAAAGCTGAACTTTCTCCCACCAGAAGCAGGGTTCAGTCATCCCTGATGAGGTTTCCAGATCTCCTTCTTCTCCTCCCAGTTCCTGAGTAGGATCGGTCTGTGTATCTGTCTCCCACAGCGGCCACCTGGTGACCACCTCCCTATGAGGCAACCTGACACTCACCCTACCAACCCCATGGACTGTTCAGCGATAGCACGGCTACCATCTCCCCGTCAGGGTGACTCCGTGGAACTTGTGTCCACTCGCTCCCTATGGGAAAGCAGCTCGGTAACGCTCTGAACCCAGTAAAGGCTGTGGCCCTCAGGTTCTCCGGGTGATTCTCACTCACTTCTCCTCCCCATGGTGAAGCTGTATGCCCTCCAGGGCTCTCCTTCCTCCCCGTGTGCCCTGCGAAGCCCTCTGGTCCCTGGGATCTCGGGACTCTACGCTGCTCGGTTATTTCATGCATTTGGTTGAGCTGCCTCTTCTGTCTCTCACCTGACTGACACACGAGGCCCAACTTCCCTCTTGTTGGGGCTCTTCCAGGTGGCCATCTTGGTAGAAAGAAACTGCTCACGTTTGATAAACAAGTTTCCTGTGAGAGGGACACCTGGTCACAGGTTGGATAACCGGACATTATGCTGTCCATGGAGATAAAGAAGAGTCCCCCGAAAAAGCACACTTCATGGGCCCTAGCAGACAGGATTAGATGTTATCGCCTCCCTCCTGAGAGATACCACAAGAACAGGTTGGAAAAAATTAAAATAAAAGGAAACATTGGTCTTCTGCTTTTGTTTAAATTCTCTAAGCACATATTCTCTGTCTTTCTCTCTCACACTCACACTCACAATCATACACACATTCCACCACCATGCAAATATTCTTAAATGTATACACAGCGGCACACAAATGTATACATAAACCAGCCCTCCCACACAGCCCCGCAGATACTCACACTCACACGCTGGCAGACACACGTGTCATATCTCCACATATTCTCCCAGACACACTCATTCACACACACCCACACCCAGGGCACCCCCACTGCACATTCCTGCTGCGCTCCCCACGGAAAGCAAAACATCTCGCCTGCTCTTAGGTGGCAAGAGACGGCCCCGCTGCAGCCACAGAACTCTACAGTGTTATTTTATCTGTGCTAACAGTGGCCTGGAAAGTAACCAACTAAATTAGAATGCAAGGACAGCCAACTCCAAGGGTCAAAGGAAACCCATCTGGATAAGGACAGAAGGGCATCTGATTGCATGCTTCCTTTCCACCAAATGATTAAGTGTACAGTCTGCTAAAAATATTTGGATCATTACAAACCTAACCACCAGTCTTCTGAGTCTCATAAATCACAGATACGATCTTATCTCAGGTAATAGAAGCTGAGTTCATTAAAAATACTTGTTAACCTAATTAGGCAACAGAGCTAAGTGCACATTCTGAGCCGGAGGACAGGTGAGTGAGCCAGCAGGTGGGGCCAGGAGACTCACTTTCTCAGGGAGCCGCGGCTGCTGGCGATCTGTTTTAGAAAGCTGCATCTTCAATTAAGTGTGAAGAGCTCCTGATTTATCACATGTACCTAACTTGCTGTAGCCACAGGAGCACTGTGCTTGAAGAGTTTCTGCAAACAGAATTAGCAAGAAGCCTGTGTCACTGGGCAGACACAATGGACAGCGCCTTCTGACAGCCCCAAAACTTGTTGCACCTCACTTGGCCTCTCTTCATAGCAGGGCCTGGCCTGTGCTGTAGTGCACCCCACGATCCTCAGACAAGAACCGCTAAACCTACTAAGCATGTGAGCATCAGTCCTGGCTGAGGACAACCCACACTGCTTTTGCCCAACTAATGTGCCGAAGGCCACAGGTGCCTATTTACACCCACAGATATGCATGGCAGGAAGAGTTTTGGAGGCCACAAGCAGTGGTGATCAGAGAAAAGGATGGGAAAGGGTAATTTCTGTCCCTGCCACAATCTCCCTACTTTGGCTGGCTCCTGCCCCCTGCAGGCTGTAGGTTAGATTTGAACTCCGGTGACGGGATTTAGCTCAGTTTTGCCGCCTGCTTCGCAAGCACAAGGACCCGAGTTCAATCCCTGGTACCTAAAATTAAAAAACAAACAAACATAGATTTGAGCTCCTATGGAGACAAGTTAGAACAGAAGGCTAAGGAACAGTTCTAATGGAAATCTAGTTGGGACTTTGAGCACACCCGTGACTGAGGAAACCAAGCAAAGCCACAAAAAGAGTAGTTGCTGTCCCTATTTTCAGTGCCGCAACATAGCAGCAGAGTCTGGAGGGTCTGTAAAGCCACAGAGAGTAGCTACCAAGGCAGCACTCCTGCCCCAGTGGCACAGGAGGAGGAGGGTAACCAGTGTAGCAGCAGAGAGCTTCTGTGCCATGGGCTTCCCCAAGGAGGTCCAGCAAAAGGACATGAGGAGGCAAGCATGGTGGCGCACACCTACAATCCCAGCATTCAGGAGGCTGAGGCAGGAGGATCACCATGAGTTTAAGGCCAGCCCGGGCTACATAGTGAGTTCAAGGCCACCTGAACTACAAATCAAGACCATATCTCAAAAACAAGCAAACAAACAAAAAATGAGTACCTCTGAGTCCCTGGAGAAGCGCAGAAATGCCTAAGTAGACCGAATAGCTGATAAGCTGAAATCCTGTGTTCTCCTAGAAAGGTTCAGTGTCGAGGTGGATGTTAATGTGACCTCTTGTGTTCGTTCCATCAGCCTAGAGAAATCGGAGACATTCCGGAATGCACACTGGATTTCAGAGCATAAATTATCCTTACTCTCCCAGAAAGAAATAGGCCTTCCTCTTGTAGAAATGAGCAGTCTCGGTGGCAAAATATGGTGGACCCCTCCTGAAAACTCCAGTGCCCCACAGGCACTCTGCGTGGAAAAGAACAAAGAGAAGCGTGGGTGTGGCCACGAGAACGCTCACCGGCCCAGCACGGAGGCGCACAGCCACACCCTCCTCTGTCTAGAGAGCTGGTTCCCAGCCACTGTCGTCTGACCGCTTGGGACAAAGCAGTGGCTGCTGGGCGTGACTGGGAGCTTGGGGAGCCAGGACTCCTGTCCTCAGGCCCCACGCTGCAGCTCGCCTGGAGCCAGCGTGGACCAGGGACGACCTGACCGCCTCCGAGAGCGCACAGCTGGGCGCCTGGGACCTGTCTTTGGTCACCAGGGTGAGGGGGACAATCTTCTCTTGAGGATCCTCAGGCTTCGCCCTGCCAGTTGCTTGGCTGTTTTGCGTGCCATGGAGCTCACTCTATCTGTAATAGAGGGCCGACCTCCCCTGGGAAACTGATACTGGAGAGTCTTGGCAAGAAACACACGAAGGACACTGACGGCACTGTGAGTCTGTGGGCCCATCCTGTCCCTCTGAGCCCTGCTAGGCGGGTCTGAGGGAAGTCTCCTAAATGCAAGAATGTATCCTGTGAGAAAAGATGCTCAAATTTAAAAAGCTACCTAATGTGTAAAAGAATTACACACACACACACACACACACACACACACACACACAAACATATATATGGAACCTTTTTCCATATATTACATATACTATATTTTATAAGACATACCTTTCCCCCACAGTTTAATTTTTCTGAAACTGGGAGATGTCTCTTATTTGAGTTGCCAAAAAGTTTCTATTAATGGTTAGAACATCTTAGAATCAAAGAAACACCACAAAACTTACTTTTTAGAGCTTAAAAATGCCACAAATATATTGTTGCTGTCAAAATAAAACAGTCACTGGATTTGAAGGGAAAGTCTCAAAATAAAATATATTCAGTCAGGATAGCTCTTCACTTGAAGTTCAAGCGAAAATAGCTTTGCTAGTAAAGGAGTACAATACCCACACTTAAGGTGACTGGGGGTAAAGAAATATCTAAATGCTTAGGGAAAGCACTGGTTAGAGGTAGGCCAATCATATTCGAGCTCACTGTTGTGATCTGTTCGGATATATTCAATAATTGTAATGAATATTGAACAAATATTCTGTCAGGAGAAATATCAAAACACAACTTTTAAAATATCAGAAAACACTTCTAAGGAGGATTTAGGGGGCAAGGCACAAGACAGAAGCTAAAACCAACCAAACACATGCACCACTTTCATAAAGATTGAGAATCCCTGCTTCTTGGGTCGTTGTGCTTGCAAGGCAGGTGGAGGCACCTCTGAGCTAAATCTGTTTCTAAGACAATATTCATCCATGTTTAAAAGGAGCCTCCATATTCCTACCCCTTTAGAGGGGTATCACCTGTCAAACTTTCTGCATTTGAAACCATTTGCTGCACGTAGATTCATGGGTTGGAATAACTTACATCTCAGGACCAAGAATTTAGCTCAGGGACACCACGCCTGCCTTGCAAGCTCAAGGTCCTGAACTCGACCCCTGGTACCAGGGGAAAAAAATAAAAATAAAAATAACTTACCTCTCTCCTTAACAGCTTTGGAAATACAATGTACTCAAGAATGGATTTTTTTTTTTTTGCAGGATAAATGCCATCAAACATTAAACATGAAAATATAATCAAAATACACGAAGGTAAAACTCAATATATTAAAATTAATTTTCCCTATAAGATGTATGTGCTATTGTATCTCCAAAGCAATGAGACTGCTCTACAATTCTGCTCTACTTCTTTTGATGGTTTTTTAGGTCCCTGGGCTTCTTAAGTTATTCTGTCTGAAATATGCTCACTTTATCACAGCAGATTTTTTTCTCATAGAAAGAATTGGCAGTTTGAAAATACCTGTTTTGGGGTGCAGAATAAAATATTCATCAAACCTTACCTCCTGATCTCCCAACATCTATTTATGAAAACCTACCATCAAGACTCTTAAGATGACAACAAAAGTTCCCAGGTGATAGCAAAATTAACTGATTTACATACGACTGTCATATTCCCGGTCTAACTTTTAGACATTCCACAGATCACTATGTTTGTACAGAAAACGACTCCTGGAGTTGCCTCCCTTCTCAATAAGTAGATATGCCCAAAACATACAACATTTAAGAACTGATAGAAAGGGCCATTCAGAACATAGCTTATAAGAGCTCGCAGAGTAAATTCCGGAAGCTCTCCATCATTCATGTCTTTTCTGACGAGTGAAGGAAACACAGGCTCTTTGGGAGAAGAAGGTGTGATTTGTAAAGTTGGCTGAGCCAACGTCTTCCACGTAAGAGCCAGGCGGCAGCTCACTCTTCATAGGCATATTGTGTACATTCGAAGCATGTGGTTTTGTCTCTGCCAGTGAGTAATGACAGCCACTTTACTTGGTTTTCTGTCCAAGTAATAACAAGTCTTATTTAAGGACGCTAGTTCTTTTTTTTTTAATTGAGTTTATTGGTACAATCTAGGTATACAATACAGTTTCATTCATCATTGGGATTCTGTACCTTTACATAATAGGTCTTGATTCTCATTTTTTCCCCTTGTCCCTGCCCTCCCTTCACCCCCTCCTCCCCTCCCCATTTACAAACACTTTATTTCCATTTTTTCAGTTTCTCATATTTTTTTCCTCTCCCTTATTACCTTTTCCCCACCCTTCCCACTTTCCCTACACCTTTAGCCCTTTACTTCCTATTTCACATTATTAATTATCTCATTAGGATCCTGTGTACTATTATAGTTTTTCACAACAAAGAAACTTTTTGGTATTTCAGCTAAAGAAATCTCTATATGAGCATTAAAAATAGGGAATCCTAAAATAAAACTAAAAAGGAAAGTAAAAGAGAAAAGGCAGTGATGTAACATTAAAATAATCCTTAATTCTGGAGATGAAAATGGTCCCTGAACATATTTAAATTGCTTCTTGCTCTTATAGTCTTATCTTATTTTTTTATTAGCATCTTAATCATCATCTGGAAAGAGAACATTCTAGAGTAATATCATTAAATGTAGCTCTGATAAAGCACGGTCCCTACTATGTATCATAAAGCAGGTATAAGATATTTTACATTCATAGAGGTATGATACAGTACTGTCCTACATCAATAATACTAGAATCAGTTTTGGTTTGAAATTTACTTTGTCTGCAAATAAGATTGCTACCCCTGTTTTTTTCTGGGCTCCTGTCACATGGAGAATTGTTTTCTATCTTTTCTCTTTCAGTCTATGGGCTTCTTTTTGCACTAGGTGTGTTTCTTGTATACAACATATTGTTGGATTTTGCTTCTTATTCCATTTTGCCAGTCTATTTCTCTTGATTGGTGAGTTGAGGCCATTGACATTGCTGGTTATAACTGATATGTACTGACTTATTATTGACATGTCATTGGCCTTCTGTTGACTCTTTTTACTTTTTCACCTTCTCCTTTTAATTTCTTGCCTTGCCTATTTGATTTGCTCTGTTGGGCCTCATGGTGTTGTTGCCTTCATTGTCTTTTTCTAGGATCTTGTTTAGAATTCCTTGTAGTGCTGGTTTGGTATTCATGTAGTTTCTCAGGTGTTCTTTGTTATGGAAGTGTCTTATTTCCCCATCCATTTTGAAAGAGAGTTTTGCTGGATACATCAGTCTAGGTTGGAGGTTGTTCTCTTTTAGTACTTGAAATATCTCATAAGGAAGCTAGTTCTGTTTAAAGCTTTGAGATTTTTTTTTTCTTTTCTTTTCTTGGTTGGAAAAATACAGTTAGCAACAAAAGACTTACTTATTTCTTTACTATAAAAAGGAGAAAACTGCTCACTCTCAGAGTCCTCTGAAGAACTGGGATGTGTGTACACCAAAATTTTGCATTGTGCCAGGCCTGGTGGTCGCAGTTGTGATCCCAGCTACTTGGGAATCTGAAGAGGATCACCACAAGTTCAAGGCCAAATGGGGTAACTTCACAAACTCTGTCTCAAAAAAAGAAGAAGAAAAAAAAAAAAAGAACTAAGAAGAGGCTGAGATTATAGCTCAGCATTCCCCAGGTTCAATATAATAGTAATAGTAATAGTAATAATTGCATCACTGCTCCAATGACTAGCTGACAGTCTAGATTTCTTGTTTCATTTATTTAGCAAATATTTATATATTGTGCTAAGCAATATTCCAAGCACCTTATCCATACAAACTCTATTAATGCCCAGGGTACCCATAGAAAATGTTCCTGCTGATTTCTTTTTTTCCCCCAAATTTAAAGTAACAAAGACTTATTTCTGTGGATAAAACCATTTAAATCTGTTTGTCCTTAAGGATTATCCCAGGCAGACAGAAATGAAGAAAAATGGCTAACCTTTGAAATATGATTTTGGAATCAGGGTCAGTAGAGAACAGACAGAACTTTGATAGAGTGTGTTGTCTGAAATTTTTATATAAAAACAGGTTAACTTCCACTGGTATAAGCTAGCCATGTTATAGAGTCATTGTATCCAAAAAAGAAAAAAAAATCTGAAACCTTTGTCACAAATGCATTATTGTAAGGGCCAAGTTTTCAGGTCAAGGTGGGCTCCCTCTGTGCCCATTGCCCAGAACAGAGCCACAAAAATTCCATTCTGTATAATTACATTCTGTATGACAGTCTCCCTGTGTTTCTGTTCCTCTTTTTAGGCAGCTCTGTCTTAGGCCTCCACCCTGTGTTTCTGTTCCTCTTTTTATGATCTAAAGATGAATTCTCACTGCTTAAGATAATCAAGGTTCTTTAAAAGGAGGAATTGATTTAGCCAACATAGGTACTAGTCACAGCTTACATGGGTAGCCACTGCTAACATAGGCATTAGTCACTGCTTGCATATGTAGTCTTTGTTAATTATAGAATTTGTTTAATCAGATGTTCTTTAAAAAGAGGAATTGGTTCTGTGTACGTAGGCATTAGTAATTTTCCAGTAAGTGCCCTCCCAGTACCCCTTAAATATCCAATAGTAAGTGAGAGCTATAAATAGAGCCTATAAAAAGGAAGAGTCTCCCTAACCCTATATAACCCTGCTTCAAAGATAGATCACAACTGCCTTGGGGTCACTGATGAATTGTTCTCCAGTCATCTAGATCTGCAGAAAGACCCGCTGCCTGAAGCTGACTTTGTCCTCTCCAAGGATGGGGACAGCTTCATGAAAAATGGGGTATGCTATGCTGGCTATGCAAAGATGACTCAAGATAAAGTGATCCAAGCAGGACCCCTCCCCACTGGATTGGTCAGCTCAGAGCGGAACTGTGGGCATTCATACAGGCTCTCTGATGGACAAAAGAAAAGAGGGTAAATGTTTATACAGATTTCCTGATGGCCACTTGGTATATCTATGGCACAGTCTATACGGGTGTGGTCTTCTCACAGCAGAGGACAAACTTATTAAAAATAAACAAGATATAATGTAGTTATTTAAGGCAATGTAGAAATCTGATAAAATAGCTATAATAATTCAAAAAGATATAATAACAAATGGCAATGCTAAGATAGGCACATGAGCCAAAAAGGTAACTAAACAAATTAGATGATAATACTCACCCCCTATAATGGTTTTATATTTTTCTAGATGGCCTGGGTCCTTCCCTATAAAAATAAAAAGGGCTTCAAAAATATGTAAGATCTTACTAAAATTTCAAGGTTTAGTCTGCCTCTCTCCATAGGCAGTGATCACGAATAAGCATTTACAATAGATGTGATACAAGATTTAACTCAGGTAATGGGGTCCAATTGAAAATTACATTGTGCATATCAACCCCAAAGTGCAAGACAAATAGAAAGGATGAATAGAACCCTAAAAGAGACCTTGACTAAATTAAGCTTGGAAATTGGCGATAATTGGGAGTCGCTCCTCCCCTTTGATGTTGTATTATTGTCCACCCCCACAGCCATCATGGTGGACAGAATTACTGCTTGGATTCATCATTCCCATGTGAAAAAAGATGCCAACCCTCGGCTGACCCCTCAGCCTCTGAGTCCTTGGAGCCCAATCAAGGATCCCAATAACCCTCTGATACCCACTGAAGCTAAGAATTGTTAAATCCTAGTTTTCTTAATTAAAATAGTCCTCCCTGATATGGGATAAACAGGGCTAGGAGCAGCTACTCCATCAACCTATATTAGATTTTCTAGGTTTAAAATTGCTATTGTCTTTTACTTGATTATGGGATCTTTTGTAATAGTTTCAGGGAGTAAGAATGTTTGGTCTATTAATGGTATTCATTTTCCAAGTGGTTGCAAAGAGCCATTCTATCAATCCCCATGAACCCCAAAATACTACTTGGGTGATTATTAATGCCTCCCAGGAAGGATTATAAATACTACTTCCCTCAGGGCCCCCCGGGGGACTTGGTGGCCAGGTATTGAATTTGATTTATGTAGGTTGGCCATAGGGACCTGGGATGTTGGCAATTGGGATCTCGATTCCCAGGGAAACCCTGAATGTGGTGACACAGGAAAGGGATGCACCCTCCCCCCGAGGAGAGGAGGACTAGGATGTGGACACCTAATGGATAGAGCAGAGCTTCACGACACATCCTTCTATGTTTGCCCAGGAGGCAGAAGGTCCCGACAACAGATAAAAAAGTGTGGGGGAGCTGAGCATTTTTATTGCCAACAATGGGGATGCAAATCCACCGGGATGATCTATTGGACCCCCCCACCATAAAAGATGATTTAATAGTAGTCACTAGGGTACCTCAGGCCCAACTAGCTTCTAATCCCATCTATGGGAGATGCTCCTCTTTCCTGTGTAACCCCATCCGGGTGTCCTTCACTGCACTAGGAAAACAATTTCCTAGCTGGAAAGCTGGACAATATTGGGGATTACGGTTATCTCAATCAGGCTATGACGAAGGAATCCTTTTTACTATTAGACAATTTGAAGAACAGCTTAGAGTCATTGGTCCAAACTCATTCTTAGTCTCTTGATCTAAACCTGTTTTCCAACCTACAGATTCCAGTATTAACTCCACTATAAAACAAGAAAAAAGAAAAGAAAAAAAAGACTGGTATGCTGTATAGTCCAGGAGCTACAATACAATCAAAGAAAGAGGGGTTGGGCCGGCGATTTAGCTCAGCGGTTCAGTGGCCTGCCTTGCAAGTGCAAGGACCCAAGTTCAATCCCCGG